ACCAAGAGGCTGGCCAGCTGGCACCGGCTGCTGCTTCTAACACATGCAGCTCTGTCCTCTAACATCTGGTGCTGCAGATGTGTGTTTTCCTTTTGGAAATGGAGGGACATTTGTACTCTTTCACTCATAGACAGGACCCCATGGCACTGCACCTCCAGAGAGGTGGACAAACTACTTCAAGCTCACACGAGGGGAGAGAGCCTTGTGTGACTGAGAACCAACAGGGTCCCTGGATCATCTTGGAGGATGAATTGGGTCCTAGGAATGCTGAAGAGCTGCAGCAGCCCCACGCCATCCTCAACAGGGTCTGGTCTGCTGCTTTCTCCCCAGAAGGTTCTGACGAGTCAATGGAGAAACAAACAGCTGGGCATTCTGCTCCTCAGTGGGGCTGGCTCCCAGGCTCTGAGCCTGCTGCATGGCCACAGGCAAAGGAACTCGCTAGACAATGGACCCAGGATCATTTCAGTCCGACGCCCATTTCCTACCTGGGGAACCGGGAGACTCAGCCACCAGGTGCCCGTGTGGTCCTGGGCCTCCTGGCCTCAGTATGGATGCTGGGGTTGTGTTACTCCTTGATTTGGTGACTCCCTTGTGACTCGCTGAGGATACAGGGCAGTGGCAAGATTTCTCTAGCACAGGGCACAGGGCACGTTGCTTCCTGCCCCCTTACAGGGGAACCTGAATGTAGCTCATGGTCCAAAGTCAGCTCACAGGCTAGGGGGCCCTGGTGACAGGCAGGGCAGGCAAGCGACAAACCTACCACCTCCCCTTCCAGAGCACACTCTCCCAGTGTCTGGTCAGCATCACGTGTGCCTACTAGAGCAAATGCACATTGCTCAGATGGCTGAAACACGGGTGACTGCTGGAGCATCTTCATCAGCTTCTCACTAGAGTGTTTTGGGATTTAACAGTTTCAAATCTGTCTGAGGATCATTTTCAGACACAGCACTTCATTCTAAGACTGCCGGGGGCCGGATTCACTAATCCCCTTCATCTGGAGTCCCTGAATAAAGACCTAGTTCTGAGCTTTTAGAAATTAAGCATAATCCTTAGGAGCCTAAAATGAGAAGCAGGAATCTGCAGTCCTGTGGTGTTTCTGAAGAGTCTCCATATCCTGGTATAAGTTCTCCAAGACAGGGACTGAGAAGGTCAGGCCAGCTCGCTCCCACTGGCCACATCCCCAAGAGGCAAGGACCAGGAGGGGACCCGCACCCCCGTGATGGAGCAATGCAGGATTTTCCCTCTTTTCATTTGAATCACACTAACTTAAAAAGGAATGCTAGCCCCTGACCCTACCAGCCCAACAAGCCCAGTTGCTCTCACATGTTCTGGTTCAAAAGAACATTTGTTTGGGGCTTGGAAGCAAGAAGGGAAAGGTTTAAAACAGAGACCAAATGTCTACAGTCAAGGTGGCCACAGCTGGAGGGATGCACCTTCAATGACATGACCAACCCCACCCTCTGATGGGGCGACTAGGATAATGGGAAGGGTGCCCACCCTGCCGCGTGCTTCTCCTGGATGAGGCAGAGCATGCCAATGGTGACCCAGCCAATGGCAAAGAAGCCTCCTGCTGCTGCTGCTGCTGCCCACCAGGGCCCAGGGCTGGGCAGCACATCCACATGGCGGGCACAAGGCTTGGGGGCACCCCCAACACCAGCCCCAGCTCCCACCTGGTCCCATCGTTTGCCCCTGTATGGCCTTATTCATCTCAGACCTGAAATGTTTTCCTCTCAACGTGGGAACAATCCCTCCACTACAGCCAACTTCTCATTAGGATGAGAAACTAGATGATGGGCCCCAACTTCCACCTGATTCAAGGATGGTTGTCATTACTGACCAGGACACCTTTCCTTTACCCTGGGCACACAGTTACGTGAGGTGTTGTTGGCAGGATGCCTGCCGCAGGCCCTGAGGTCTTAAAATCACAGCCTGCAGCCTGTTCAATCTGGGCACGTGAGGATTCCAGGCAGTGCCCCAGGGAAGCCTGGCAGTGAACCCTCAGTGTGTAGTGGATGGAAGTGAACCAGCCCCATCAGCTGTGGGGTTTGTTAATACAGAAGAAACAGATGTGTGGCTCCTGGAAGGGCCCAGCTGGAAAGGGGAGCTTCTCGATTCGGCTCATTTAAATTGTAATCCCAGGAAAGCTTTTACGCTCAAGAGTCCTTCCCTCCTTGATGTGCCCAGACATGGCCTAACAGCACAGCTGAGCCTGGTCAAAGCCTTCCCACACCCACCTGCTCCCAGGCCTCCCTGCAGGGCCTCAGTCCTCTGGCATCTTCTGGGTCTGACCCCTCTGTCAGTGTTCAACGCCGACAACTTTCCCTCACCTTGGCTTTTCAGCCCTGGCTGCCACCTTAGCCTCTGAGCTTATCATAGCTTGGAAGTCCGGCCAGGAGGGATGCCCAGGGCTTCCCACCTGGGATAGGCCTTCCTGCATCTCCATGGGTCCAGGCCTGAGCACAGGCAGGTGGCAGCCAGGAAGGCACCCTTCCCTGTCTGCAGCTGTGCACAGTACCAGGCGAGCTGGATTCTGTGGACACCCCTAGAGCTCAGGTACCACCTGGAATGCCCCCATGGGATGTGTTATTAGGCCCCAGCTGCTCGTCACCTAACTTGAGGGCACCCATTCTAGTCATATTCGTGAAGGCACATGCTGCTGCACCCCACCCAGACCTCGCCCTCCACTGGGGTCAGAGGAGGGGCCCAGGCCAGCACTGTCAGGAAGCATGTCCAGGGGTGTCCCACCCTGCAGTGCCCTGGCTCACCACAGTTGTGGGACATAACTCCCCGATGCCAGAGACACATCTCAACCCCCGTTTCATTGGAGAAAAATACCCTAGGGGCCACCAGTGGCCACATCCCACCTGAGGCAAAGCTGAACAGCCACTGCCTAGCACCCCCGCTTCTAGGGACAGACCAAACTGCAGCTCCAAGTCACAGCCGGCCAAAGCAGATCACCCAAGTGTCACCTGATCCTGAGTCAAGGGGGAGTAGCCAAGCTGACAGGCGAGGCCAAAGTGGAGAGACCTGCACAGAAACAAATTTGACCCTAGCCATCCAAGGAGTCCCAGCCCAGCCCTTGGAGGGGAAAGGCTCCTTGGAGGAAGCAAATTGCTGGGACCATAGCAGGTGGACCCGGCACTTGCAGCTCAGGGACCCCAGCAAAAGGGAATGTGAGACTAGACAGCCACACAGCACCTGCTGCAGTCAGAGGAGCTGGGCTGAGGAGGGCGGGAGAGGAGGGCCTTGAATGCAGGCAAGGACAGCACGGCTCTGGACTGGGTCACACGTCCAGCCAGAATGTCCCCACTGCCCAGTGAGATGAGAATCAGGGGTTTCTTACCATGCCTGACTAGTTCCCTGAAGAGCAGATGCTTAGCATCCACTAGGGGCATGACCCCTCGCCAAAGAGCCAGGACGGCTTGTGGGTCCAGGAATCATGGAGAGAATGCGTGAGCAGGGACGCAGCACTGGGCCCAGTGCGCCTGCAGGCCCAATCAGCTGGACTTGGCTGTGAAGGGAGAGAGTGCTACAGGGGAAATTTGGCTGCCTGGACACCATGGGGCAAGGGCTTTCTTGCTTTGTGTGAACACTTGGCATTTTGCTGACAACTGGAAACATGGTCTAGGCCAGGGGTCGGCAAACACCTCCCAGAAGGGCCAGATGGTAAGCATGCTGTGCGTGGCAGCCGTATAACTTCTGCTACACATTCTCGTTCCTTTGCTTCCCCCTCTTTGTCTGAAGACTCTTTAAAAGTGTATGGCCAGGTGCCGTAGCTCACACCTATAATGCCAGCACTTTGAGAGGCTGAGACAGGCAGAACACTTGCGGTCAGGAGTTCGAGATCAGCCTGGCCAACATGGTGAAACCTGGTCTCTAATAAAAATACGAAAATTAGCTGGGTATGGTGGCACATGCCTGTAATCCCAGCTTCTCAGGAGGCTGAGGCTTGAGAATTGCTTGAGGCCAGGAGAGGGTGGTTGCAGTGAGCCGAGATCACACCATTGCATTCCAGCCCGGGTGACAGTGAGACTCCATCTTAAAGAAGAAGAAAAAGTATAGACTGCCCTGAGGTTCTGGCCTGGTAGGGGCAGGACTGGAACCAAGCCGCTCATCCAACTCTACCATGAGAGTGTCCACAGGTGTCAGAGTTGTGTATGTCTCAGCTGCTCATCAGGTTGAGCGGCCATCACAGGGCGCCCGGCTCGGAGGACATCCCATGTGGCAGTCCCCTGTGCCTAGATGCTCCGAGATACTGGCACACCCCCATTTCCACTCCCCAAACTTCCTCTTGTGGGGACCTCTGGTCTGGGCTTTCGTCAGGAGGCCGGTGCCTTCATGTTGGACAACCCTGAGCACTGCCATGGCTCTAGGAGCTTTGCCTGTGGGTCAGCTCCCCATGAGAAGCTGCCATGACAGGGAACTTCCACCTCATCTTGAAGAACAACTTGGAGATGTGGGCCTTCCTCCCTGCATTCTCGTCAGCTCTGACTCTCACAATGGCCTTAGGGCTCAAAGTCTTGGCAAGACCCTAGCATACATTCATGGGGGGCCACCAGACACCAAGAGTGGGTTTAGGGTGACCAGGAGAAGGCAGAATGGCCTTTCTAGATGGCCTTTTTCTCCTGGGAAGTAAGGCCAGTGCTGTCTCAAAGGCTTAGAATGGGGTGAACCCACCAGGCACCACACTGGCTTTGTCCCAACCCAGTGACATCCCAGAAGTGCAACTGGGGTCACCTTTTCCAGAATGCACACTGGGACTAGAAGACCAACTCTACAGGTCTCAGTAGCCCGGCACTTGCATTTGAACATCCCTAGACACACTCTTATGCCGTCCCGAACACCCTGAGATAAAGCTAAGGTATCGGGATACCTCCAGGATGTGCTTCAGTTTTCAAGTTAAAAAAAATGCTGTAAATGTCCTTTTTAAAAAATTTGTTAATTGCTAAGGATCCCTTATAACTGAACTTTTGCTTTTTTTTTTTTTTTTTTTTTTTTTTAAGGAAATGGGAAGGTTCTGCTTCGGGGAAAATAAATGGAGACTTCCCTCTGCAACACTTACTGATGTCTGGGGGCCCGTGACCACCCTGGCCTCTTAAACACCCACACTGCCTTGGGTGGCAGGTCCTCATGTCTTGGTCATCACAGTTACAAAGAAACCACATTTCTGGGTCTCTTAAAAAAAAAAAAAAAAAAAAAAAAAAAAAAGCTTCAAAAAGTCGGTTTAGTCAACCCTCACAAGAATAAATCCCATTAGTAAGAATAAAGTAATTCCACTAAAGAAATGGCCCAAATGCCTGTAATCCCAGCATCTTGAGAGGCCAAGCTGGGTGGATCACTGAGGTCAGGAGTTTGAGACCAGCCTGGCCGACATGTTGAAACCCCATCTCTACTAAAAATACAAAAATTAGCTGGGTGTGGTGGCATGTGCTTATAATCCCAGCTACTCGGAAAGCTGAGGCAAGAGAATCACTTGAACCTGGGAGGCAGAGGTTACAGTGAGCCAAGATCATGCCACTGCACTCCAACCCAGCCAACAGTGTGAGACTCTGTCTCAAACAAAAAAAAAAGAAATAAATGGTCTAAAAAGCTTGAGGAGCCCTTGGTGGGCTGAGCACTTCCAAGGAGGCAGCCGAGCTGTGGAGGGTCTTCTATGTCCCTCCACATGCCTCTGAGGGCAAGGTCTGGGGAAGGAGTCCGTGCCTTGGTGGGAATGCATGTGTCAGAGGCATATGCATGCTCCCCATAGCAACGACAAACACCCCCCCCAGTTTTGGATGCTGGAGTGGCTGCTGCACCTATGCGCTTTCCTACCTACACCCAGCTTCCCCCGCTGGTGTTGCTGCTCCAATCCTCGTGGTTGTGTTGCAGATAAACCCGAGGAGATAGTCCCGGCCTCCAAGCCCTCCCGTGCTGCTGAGAACATGGCCGTGGAGCCGAGGGTGGCGACCATCAAGCAGCGGCCCAGCAGCCGGTGCTTCCCGGCGGGCTCGGACATGAACGTGAGTGGCAGTGCCCTGGGACCACGCGGGGGGAGATGGGCGGTGACCCAGGAAGTGGGTGGGCTGTCTCAGCAGCTGAGGTGCACACGCTCTCATGTCTGGTTCATGCTGTCCAGAGATGGGGCCCAAATCTAAACGGCCATAGGACGAACAGCCGGGTCCATGCAGACTCACAGTTGGGGGACAGAGCAGGCTATATCCAAGCCCTGCCCCTCCTTTACCACACTGCCTGCCTCCGTTCACTGAGTACCCCAAGCCTTGAAGGCATTCCCCATGATACCTGGCTGAGGACCTGTGAGCAGATGGATGTGAGGGGCCTTGACGTGCTCTTCAGACAGAGGGAATCTCGGCTCCTAGTCCACCCAGAGCACAGAAATGCTCTGGCCTGGAAGAGGCCATCTGTCCCACATCCCATGTGGCAGTGCCCCCAGCCCAGATGCTCCAAGATCCTGGGCAACACCTGTCCTCAGAGCCAGAAATGCCATGAAGGGCTTCAGTGTGTGCTGTGTGCAGTGGGTGCCCAGCTCAGAGCAGGCTGCCCATGCCATGGTCACCTTCCCTGGGCAGTCAGGAGGGACACAGCTGGAGAAGGGCCTAGGGCAGAGGCTGCTCGATTCCCCTCGGGCACGTCCTGGGCAAGGCCTGGCCTCCTGGACCCCTGGATTGCTTCTCGGTTTTCCAGAGGCAGCCATTTGAGCCTGATGTTGGATTCCGGCACTGCCTACCTATCCTGATTGCTTACCCAATTTAGTATTCTTTTTGAACCAGTATCACACTAACTCACTGTGCCTTTTCTTGAACAATAGCACCCATAAATATTATAAATTTACCATAAGGCTTTTCTGTAATGTGCATTAAATAACTGTTAATGATTAAAATGAAAATATCTGCCTTCACCCCTCCTCCCATCACCTCTGAACTCCACAAGTGCCTGCCCGTCCTTGCCTCCCATTTTGTTCCCAGTCCTTTGCAGTGCCCATGTGCCCCACCTTGTTGCGGGGTGTCTGAGACAAGTACCCTTGACCTCCCCAAAGGGTCCCACTTTCCTCCCCCGCCTCAGGGCCACACAGTGAGACAGAGGCTGCGGACGCATGGAAACTGCATCTCCAAGCTGGAGTAATGAAAGCTTGCAACATTTCCATCGAGCGTCCACATCTGATATTTTCCTGGGTTGCCCTCCAACACTACGGGTATGGGGCCCTGAGCCATCTCAACTTGGCAGATAAATCAGCAGCCTGGGGCAGCAAAAGGGTGGGCAGCACCAGGACTCTGCTTCCAAGGTGGAGGAGGGGAGCCCTGGGTGGCTCCTGGAACAGCCGAGGAGGGAGGAAGCTGGGGACAACCCGCTGCTGCAGACTCCAGCTGTAACCCTGAATAGCCCTGGGGCTCGCGCAAGCTAGCCAGCACATCACGCTCACCCACACAGTGACGGCACCTAGTTGGCCTTCGCGCACACTACGGGGCTGGTGTCATGAGCCCATTTTATGAAAGAGGAAATGCTGGCTCCTGTGTAAGGACTTGAAGGCCACATGGCACACAGGGGGTGGGGTATGGACACAGGCCAGACTCCACTGCCCACCACTCTCCCGCAGGACATCCAGCCTGGCCCCTCTCTCAGAGAGACGTGTCTGTCCAGCTGCTCTGGCGAATGGTATCACAGCAGACCACATCTCCATGGAGCAAGGCGTGCTGCCATCCTCACAGGGTCAGAGGCCAACAGCACTGCAGCCAATAGGAAAGGTGCCGACAGAGGGCCCTTCCTGGACGCTCAATGCTGTGGTTCTCACCAGCCTCCCTGTAGACTTGAGGTGGCTCCAGAAGCAGCTTGTGGGAGCTGCAGCAACAGAAGTTCCCTTGTGGCCTCTGGGGCCTGTGACTGTGGGAGGGGGCTGGCCAGGGCTGCGTCTCACCCTGGGCTCTCTGGTTTGCAGTCTGTGTATGAACGCCAAGGGATCGCCGTGATGACACCTACTGTTCCTGGGAGCCCAAAAGCCCCGTTTCTGGGCCTCCCTCGAGGTACGATGCGAAGGCAGAAATCAATAGGTAAGAAGTGTGGCACTCACCCACAGAAGTTGCCCTGGGCTTTCAAACACGCCATAGAGCCCTTCGGAAGTTCTGGCCCTCCCCGCCCCACCCCGGGCCTGCCACAGCTTTCTTGGCATCCCACCCCAGCAACACCCTGCCAGCCCACCCACCGGAGGGCAGAAACCTGACTTTGCCCACCAGGGAGCCACTGGAACAACTGAGTGGCATGAAACTTATCCACCCCGAAGGATACAAACTCCAGGGTGCCTTGTATAATCTCGAACACCAGTATCTGTGATAATTCCAGCAGGGTAAAGGGGGAGGGTGGGTGAGGTGGTCTGGACTAGCCCCCCTGCTCCACCCTGCCCTGCTCAGGGTGGGAAGGGTGAGTGGGTTCCCTGTGTTCCCTAGCCACCGCCAGGCCAGGAGCATGAGCTCAGCAGATATACTTCCAAGGGTGGTCAGGTCAGAATTCCAATGAAATAATGTACTGTGTGTTGCAGAAAACTGCCTTCCTTTCTTCTTAATGTCACAACTATTCCTATTGACTCTGTTGCAGGCACAGGTACACTTGACCTTGAGACAAGGTCACACTTGACCCTTTTGAGACAGTCCTTTGTGAGATAATTCAGCATTGCCTTTACTGTGTCAATTCTGTTAGAAGCTAAGGTCCCTGCCCTGTGAGAGTTGTGGGGGCAGCCCTGGGACTCTGGTATGCCCAGCCCACCCCAGGGGCACTGTCCTGTGTGTTCTGGAAATGCCTCTGGGCTGCTGTATAAAAGCGCAGCATCTTTGTGAGTCTGAGGTGGATGACTGTAGGCAGTCACTAGGCAGTAAGTGGCCGTGGATGTGGTGTCTGCTGCACTTAAAGCTCCCCCGCACCACCAAACTCGGGGAGAGCTGTGTGTTTGTCTTGCGGTTACTGGTTAATAACAGCTGATTTCCTCCTGTCAGACAGCAGAATCTTTCTATCAGGTCAGTGAACCCTTATGGTTTGGAATCTGTAATCTGAATGTAACCCAGTTTACTTTATAAGGTGTATTCTTAAATTAGTACTCCTTGGGAACATAATTGCCAGGCAACCAACTCGTAGTGACTGGTCAATGGAGAATGCCTTGAATGACCCATCTTTGCAATGCCAAAATGTCCTCCCACAAGGAGTATGTTAAATTTGGAATACCCTTATCGAATGGAAGTTTTCATTGGAATAAATTATTGTAGTTTGTCCTAGGAATTTTTTTCATTTAAGTAATTTATTTTGCTACCTCTTTGAAAAACCTGCATGCCCCCGACACAAGATCCCCTGTGCCGTGCGTCTGTCGGTGCGTGCGTGCGTGTCTTGCTTCCCTTCTCCCCCAGTGCTCCTGTTGACATTTCTGTGTCTTGAGCTGCTGAACAGTTTGTAAAGTCACACTCAGGCAACATACCCAGAGAGCCCTCAGGCCCCACTGCTGGCCGTTGTAGGACCTCAGCTGCATTCCCCCATACTCAACATTCACATACTTTCATGAGGTCAACTCATGGAACACGACTTGGACTCTGTGCCAGGTCAGCCACACTTGAAGCCTGGTCAGTCATGATCATGGTGGGCCACTGGGCCCTCAGCTGCTGCACCAGACGGTCTCGGGCAGGGCTAGTTCCAGGGCTGCCATGGGGACGCAGAAGGGGCTCGCTGAGGCCCGGCTCAGGCCAGGGTCTTTAAAAGAACCTGGGCTCTCCCCTCAGTCACAGGCTCCAGAGCCCACATGGCCCCTCCTCTGAGCTAGCAACCCCTAGCCACCCAGCTCTCTGCAGGTCCAAAGGACTCCAGGACACACAGAACCCTTAGTGGGGCCCAGTGAAGTCAGGCAACAAAAGGATTCACGTGACCCTAGAAGGAACGCGCCTCCTTCCAGCACACACAGCGCCAACGGTGGGCAGATGGCTGCACTCAGGGTGCCAGAGGCCTCCCTGTACATCTGGGCAGCCGCGGGGCTCAATTGCCATCTGGATGGAGGACTGCACACCATCCTTGCCACATAAACACAGCAGTACCTGCAACTCTTTGCTCTCATTTCAGATGGACAGGTGACAGCCTTAAGCCCCTGCCCTAAAAACACCCCAAGGAGCCCTTACCACACCTGAAGGGGCATGGCGGAATGATACGTTTTGGTCTAGCCAACCCAGCCCCCAGTGCCAGCACAAGCATATGTGCGCATACACATACACGTGCAGCCCCAGGCGAGCTGCCCACTTGGCCTGCAAAGTGGCACGCAGCTCAGCATCAGGCGCCCTCCTGCCCTGGCCTCACACAGATCCGTGCTGCAGCCTGCGCCCAGAGGCCCCACAGCAGCTCACTCACAGCATCCCCAGTGCCTTTCTGTCCTTCCCTTTCTTGTCCTTTGGCTCACGGCGGGCCATGTGACTAACCACTCGACATTGTGGCTTGTGCTGTGTTTCATGAACACCCATTCATCATCTGATCTGAGTTTGTGGGGACATAGCATATCACACGTTTCTAGGAACATAGGCCTTGTTACTGCTGTGACCTAAAGCTAAACCTATCTTCTACTTGTAGGAATAACAGAGGAAGAGCGGCAGTTTCTGGCTCCTCCAATGCTGAAGTTCACCAGAAGCCTGTCCATGCCAGACACCTCCGAGGACATCCCCCCTCCGCCACAGTCTGTGCCCCCATCCCCGCCACCACCTTCCCCCACCACTTACAACTGCCCCAAGTCCCCAACTCCAAGAGTCTACGGGACAATTAAGCCTGCGTTCAATCAGAATTCTGCTGCCAAGATGTCCCCCGCCACCAGGTCCGACACAGTGGCCACCATGATGAGGGAGAAGGGGATGTACTTCAGGAGAGAGCTGGACCGCTACTCCCTGGACTCTGAAGACCTCTACAATCGGAACGCTGGCCCACAGGCCAACTTCCGCAACAAGAGGGGCCAGATGCCCGAAAACCCGTACTCAGAGGTGGGGAAGATCGCCAGCAAAGCCGTTTACGTCCCCGCCAAGCCCGCCAGGCGGAAGGGGATGCTGGTGAAGCAGTCCAACGTGGAGGACAGCCCTGAGAAGACGTGCTCCATCCCCATCCCGACCATCATCGTGAAGGAGCCGTCCACCAGCAGCAGCGGCAAGAGCAGCCAGGGCAGCAGCATGGAGATCGACCCCCAGGCCCCGGAGCCACCAGGCCAGCTGCGGCCCGATGAAAGCCTGACCGTCAGCAGCCCCTTTGCCGCCGCCATCGCCGGAGCCGTCCGCGACAGGGAGAAGCGGCTGGAAGCCAGGAGGAACTCCCCGGCCTTCCTCTCCACAGACCTGGGGGACGAGGACGTGGGCCTGGGGCCGCCTGCCCCCAGGACACGGCCCTCCATGTTCCCCGAGGAGGAGAGTTTTGCTGACGAGGATGGCGCTGAGCAGCTGTCATCCCCCATGCCAGGCGCCGCACCCAGGGAGCCCGAAAACCATTTCATGGGTGGCACCGAGGCCAGTGCTCAGGGTGAGGCTGGGAGGGCACTGAATTCCACGTCCAAAGCCCAGGGGCCTGAGAGCAGCCCAGTGGTGCCCCCGACAAGCGGCGGCACAGCCGGCCCCGGGAATTACGTCCACCCGCTCACAGGGCGGCTGCTCGATCCCAGCTCCCCGCTGGCCCTGGCACTCTCCGCAAGGGACCGAGCCATGAAGGAGTCTCAGCAGGGACCCAAAGGGGAGGCCCCCAAGGCCGACCTCAACAAACCTCTTTACATTGATACCAAAATGCGGCCCAGCCTGGATGCCGGCTTCCCTACAGCCGCCAGGCAGAACACCCGGGGACCCCTGAGGCGGCAAGAGACAGAGAACAAGTACGAGACTGACCTGGGACGGGACCGGAAGGGT